AAAAGTCATAAGTGTCTATGTAATAATGAAATCTACACATCTCCTCTAAAATTTAAACATATAATTTTATCTCTGAAATTTCTGATTATTTTTTAATTAAAGTTAAAACCAATGCATTTATAAACCAAATTGAACGTTGTAATTTTTTCAATGATCTTTTTACAATGACAATGGAGTGCAGTGTCTGTGCGATAAATTTTTTTCTAAAAAAGCTCATTAATATAATTAACAAAGTTAAATTTGGTTTATATGTGTCTTGGTTCTACGCCTTATTATAAAAAAGTAGAGCGTGCTGAGATGAAAATTGTAATTGAGATTATAGATGAAATGTGTAGCTATCATAATTATATTAACACTTATGACTTTTATCAATCAGGAAAAAAGTTTTCCTATACTAATAAATTTATCGAGCAATTTTTATCTCAGTTTTTTTGAAAATAAATACTCTTAATGTTAATCAATCCTGATAAATTTTATGTGAGATGTGGACATGGGCGAGTGTTATTATAATCCGACGACAGAATCAAATTATCTCGATTCGTTTTTAAGTTATGGTCATTATGGACATTTATTTCTGAACGCCTTGTTATACATTCATCACTTGTATTGCCAATAAATTAACGAAACACACTTTATAGCACTATATTATTGTGTTTCAATTAATTTTTTAAATAATAGCGTTAATTACAATGCCATAATTGCACAGTCAATAGGACGGCGCCAGAGCTATATTACACTTTTTGTAATATAAAATTTCTATATTACACTTTACATGTCATATAACTGTAATGTAAAGTGTTATATGACGTCATATGACAGAACTCACAACACTAGATATTAAACTTAGGTATAAGCTTTTTTAGTAACATATACTCGTAGTATAATATTAAATATGTGATTATTATAAGCGGTCCCGAGGTTCTATAATTGCAAAATATTCATCTTGCAACTTTAAAAACATGCCTGTAAAAACCAGACCTTTTTAGAATTAAAATTCACCATTGTAAATAAGCGTTCATACAGATTGTACAATTGTGTCTGTACAATTGATTATAACAATTATTTTATTACATAATATAATAATGAAGAATTTTTAATCAAAATGTATCCAATTGTAAGAAATCTTAATCAAACATAGTAGTGAAAAGTATATGTTTAGTTTTACAAATGATAGTCACCTCAATTGCTGTCCCAACAACCACCCCAATCGTCCATATTTTGTCTTATTCTATCACGACTAATCATTGCCAAATCAACTGCATTTCGCACTAATTTCTTTAATAAATAGTCATCAGTACATTTATTGATCTCTTTGATATAATTCATATCTTGAATAATGATTTTATCGTAATTGGAATCAATAAATTCCTCAATAATTTCGTTCAATTCATTAATATTTAAATTAAATGTAATTTTCAATATAAACGCCAAGTTTTCCAGCGATAGATGTTTAACCAAGTGGTGGCCAATTAATGGCATAAATCGGGGCAAACCGTAAGCGTCGGCCAGTTTGCACACATCGGCCACGAGTTTACAATCCAAGCCTTCGTTGTAATCAAATGATAACTCGTGAGTATATAAGTACCAAACAATGGCTTTGAACGCCTCATAAGTGGTGTCTTTGATTTCAATCTCTTTTTTGTCATTTTCAGCAAAACTTCCCGAAAACATGGCTCTGAAGTAAACGCTTCCCACCATTAATATGCGTTTCTCTGCGGGAACTCTTTGGCCATTAATGATAAATATGACATCACTTTCCCTTTCATTCATAAAGTAATCCTTTTCTGGATATAAATCATTTATTTCTGTGATTTCCTTTAAAATCAAATGATATTAATTTAAAAATATAACACTTTATTTCACAATCAAATGATTTAATAACAATATTGAGTGAATATTGACTGATATTGTGAATAATTTGTGATTATATACAGTACAAGTTTTTACACATACCTCGCATTTTTCGTCCGTATTATTTGATTCCTTATCCGCCATATTTTTCTCCTCAATACAACGCAATTATTATTAACAAAAACTAAGCTTATAATCAAACAAAACTTGTGGCAAACAATTTCATTGATTTTAATTTAAATGTTTGTATTAAATAAATGTAAAACTATCAAAAATCAAGACATTAGTTTATAATCAATATCCATTCAATAGTAATCTCTGAACACATATACAGTACATGTAACTTATAACTGAAAAATTTCAGTTGAATTAAATTTTAAATTATTATCAAAACAATTCACATGAATATCCTGTTTTTAAAACAGCAGTTTAAATGTTATATTATAAAATCATGTGTTTTGATCATTATTATATGCAAAACATAATTAATCACAATCAAAATATATTTCACACAAACAGACCTGGATCAGTTCATAATTTATAAATCTATAAAATACTGTACATTTCAAAAGGGTTGACAGTTTAAAGTGTGGTAGAATTAAACTTTGTTCCTATTTAATTTAACTATAATATAAGCTATTAAAATATTTTATTATAAACAAATTATTGATGTTATGGTGTTTTTAATGCAATGAATTATTGCCGATAAAAATTATATGATTCAGTTTTCAAATATTTCTCTAATACAGACTGAAGTTATCATAAAATATACATTAATTCGCATTCAATTGTCATTATGCGGATATTAACTGACCTATTATTCGAGCACAAGGGACGGGATAACCGCCTTTCACTGTTGCGATTAGTATAGCACGGGTTTCATGTCTATCAATATATTGCAGTATACCTCCGCCCGAATCACCCTTTGGTCAGAGAGAGAGAGAGAGAGAGAGAGAGAGAGAGAGAGAGAGAGAGAGAGAGAGAGAGAGAGAGAGA